AGCTGTCATTTCTAAAAGTTTGGGGATGCGATGCTTATGTCAAGAAACTTCAACCTGAAAAGCTCGAACCCAAGTCGGAGAAATGCGTCTTCATAGGATACCCTAAAGAAACTATTGGGTATACCTTCTACCTCAGATCCGAAGGCAAGATCTTTGTTGCCAAGAATGGATCCTTTCTAGAGAAGGAGTTTCTCTCGAAAGAAGTAAGTGGGAGGAAAGTAGAACTTGATGAAGTATTACCTCTTGAACCGGAAAGTGGCGCAACTCAGGAAAATGTTCTTGTGGTGCCTGCACCAATTAGAGAGGAAGTTAATGATGATGATCAAGATACTTCTGATCAAGCTCCTACTGAAATTCGAAGGTCCACAAGGACACGTTCCGCACCAGAATGGTATGGCAACCCTGTCTTGGAAATCATGTTGTTAGACAACGGTGAACCTTCGAACTATGAAGAAGCGATGGCGGGCCCGGATTCCGACAAATGGCAGGAAGCCATGAAATCCGAGATAGGATCCATGTATGAAAACGAAGTATGGACTTTGACTAACTTGCCCGTTGAGCGGCGAGCCATAGAAAATAAATGGATCTTTAAGAAGAAGACAGACGCGGATGGTAATGTGACCATCTATAAAGCTCGGCTTGTCGCTAAGGGTTATCGACAAGTTCAAGGGGTTGACTATGATGAGACTTTCTCACTGGTAGCGAAGCTGAAGTCCGTCCGAATCATGTTAGCAATTGCCGCATTCTATGATTATGAGATATGGCAAATGGACGTCAAAACGGCATTCCTTAATGGTTTCCTTAAGGAAGAATTGTATATGATGCAGCCGGAAGGTTTTGTCGATCCTAAGAATGCTGACAAGGTGTGCAAGCTCCAATGCTCGATTTATGGGCTGGTGCAAGCATCTCGGAATTGGAACATTCGCTTTGATGAGATGATCAAAGCATTTGGGTTTATGCAGACCTATGGAGAAGCCTGCGTTTACAAGAAAGTGAGTGGGAGCTCTGTAGCATTTCTCATATTATATGTAGATGACATACTTTTGATGGGAAATGATATAGAGCTTTTGGACAGCATTAAGGCCTACTTGAATAAGAGTTTTTCAATGAAGGACCTTGGAGAAGCTGCTTATATATTAGGCATCAAGATCTATAGAGATAGATCAAGATGCCTCATAGGTCTTTCACAAAGCACATACCTTGATAAGATATTGAAGAAGTTCAATATGGATCAGTCTAAGAAGGGGTTCTTGCCTGTGATGCAAGGTGTGAAATTGAGCTCAGCTCAATGTCCGACCACGGCAGAAGATATAGAAGGGATGAGTGTCATCCCCTATGCCTCAGCCATAGGTTCTATTATGTATGCCATGCTGTGTACCAGACCTGATGTAAACCTTGTCGTAAGTTTGGTAGGTAGGTACCAAAGTAATCCCGGCAAGGAACACTGGACAGCGGTCAAGAATATCATGAAGTACCTGAAAAGGACTAAGGAAATGTTTCTCGTTTATGGAGGTGACGAAGAGCTCGTCGTAAAGGGTTACGTCGACGCTAGCTTCGACACAGATCTGGATGACTCTAAGTCACAAACTGGATACGTGTATATTTTGAATGGTGGGGCAGTAAGCTGGTGCAGTTGCAAGCAGAGCGTCGTGGCGGGATCTACATGTGAAGCGGAGTACACGGCAGCCTCGGAGGCAGCACATGAAGCAATTTGGGTGAAGGAGTTCATCACCGACCTAGGAGTCATACCCAATGCGTCGGGGCCGATCAAACTCTTCTGTGACAACACTGGAGCTATTGCACTTGCCAAGGAGCCCAGGTTTCACAAGAAGACAAGGCACATCAAGCGTCGCTTCAACTCCATTCATGAAAATGTTCAAGATGGAGACATAGATATTTGTAAAGTACATACAGACCTGAATGTAGCAGATCCGTTGACTAAACCTCTCCCTAGAGCAAAACATGATCAACACCAGAATTCCATGGGTGTTCGATTCATCACAATGTAACTAGATTATTAACTCTAGTGCAAGTGGGAGACTGTTGGAAATATGCCCTAGAGGCAATAATAAAAGGATTATTATTATATTTCCTTGTTCATGATAATTGTCTTTTATTCATGCTATAATTGTGTTATCCGGAAATCGTAATACATGTGTGAATACATAGACACCAACATGTCCCTAGTAAGCCTCTAGTTGACTAGCTCGTTGATCAACAGATAGTCATGGTTTCCTGACTATGGACATTGAATGTCATTGATAACGAGATCACATCATTAGGAGAATGATGTGATGGACAAGACCCAATCCTAAACATAGCACAAGATCGTATAGTTCGTTTGCTAGAGTTTTTCCAATGTCAAGTATCTTTTCCTTAGACCATGAGATCGTGTAACTCCCGGATACCGTAGGAGTGCTTTGGGTGTACCAAACATCACAACGTAACTGGGTGACTATAAAGGTATACTACGGGTATCTCCGAAAGTGTCTGTTGGGTTGACACGGATCAAGACTGGGATTTGTCACTCCGTATGACGGAGAGGTATCTCTGGGACCACTCGGTAATGCATCATCACAATGAGCTCAAAGTGACCAAGTGTCTGGTCACGGGATCATGCATTACGGTATGAGTAAAGTGACTTTCCAGTAACGAGATTGAACGAGGTATTGGGATACCGACGATCGAATCTTGGGCAAGTAACGTACCGATTGACAAAGGGAATTGTATACGGGGTTGCTTGAATCCTCGACATCGTGGTTCATTCGATGAGATCATCGAGGAGCATGTGGGAGCCAACATGGGTATCCAGATCCCGCTGTTGGTTATTGACCGGAGAGCCATCTCGGTCATGTCTACATGTCTCCCGAACCCGTAGGGTCTACACACTTAAGGTTCGGTGACGCTAGGGTTGTAGAGATATAATATGCAGTAACCCGAAAGTTGTTCAGAGTCCCGTATGAGATCCCAGACGTCACGAGGAGTTCTGGAATGGTCCGGAGGTGAAGAATTATATATAGGAAGTGCAGTTTCGGCCATCGGGAGAGTTTCGGGGGTCACCGGTATTGTACCGGGACCACCGGAAGGGTCCCGGGGGTCCACCGGGTGGGGCCACCCATCCCGGAGGGCCCCATGGGCCAAAGTGGGGAGGGGAACCAGCCCATAGTGGGCTGGTGCGCCCCCCTTGGCCCATCCCATGCGCCTAGGGTTGGGAACCCTAGGGTGGGGGGGCGCCCCACCTGGCTTGGGGGGCACTCCACCCCTTGGCCGCTGCCCCCTAGGAGATCCCATCTCCTAGGGCCGGCGCCCCCCCTAGGGGAGCCTATATAAAGGGGGGAGGGAGGGCAGCCGCACCCTTGAGTCTTGGCGCCCCCCTCTCCCCTGCTACACCTATCCCTCTCGTAGTAGAACGGCGAAGCCCTGCTGCGGTGACCCCTGCATCCACCACCACGTCGTCGTGCTGCTGGATCTTCATCAACCTCTCCTCCCCCTTGCTGGATCAAGAAGGAGGAGACGTCATGCTGACCGTACGTGTGTTGAACACGGAGGTGCCGTCCGTTCGGCGCTAGGATCTCCGGTGATTTGGATCACGTCGAGTACAACTTCCTCATCCCCGTTCTTTGAACGCTTCCGCGCGTGATCTACAAAGGTATGTAGATGCAATCCGACCACTCGTTACTAGATGAACTCATAGATGGATCTTGGTGAAACCGTAGGAAAATTTTGTTTTCTGCAACGTTCCCCAACAACATGGCATTCAAGATACAAAAAGAGAGAGAACCATCTAGCTAGTACTATGGACTCCTAGGTCCTAATGAAACTACCCACACATCATCATGGAGGTAACAAGGTTGATGAAGATGACTCCGACAATGGCTTCCCTCTCCGGCAGGGCTCTGGAACACGCCTCAAGATGGGATCTTTGTGGAACACAGCCTTGCGGCGGCGATAAAATTATTCTGAAAATATGGCGGAGCGTTTCGATATTTATAGGGAATTATGGCAATGGAATCAGGTCAAGGCGGTGCAAGGGGTCCCACATGAGCAGGTGCCCCCCAGGGCATGCAAGGTGGCCGTGTGGTCCCCGGGCAGGTCCTCTCGAACCGTTTTTTGTTTTGTTTCTTTATTTTTTATTCTCCATTTTTCATTCTTTCTTACATTTTGTTTCTTCGTCTTTGGTTTTTTTCCTTTTGTTTTTTCTCTATTTTTTTTTGATTTTCTTTTTTCTTCTCCATTTTTTCTTTTTTCTTATGTTTGTTTTCGTTTTCACTCTACATTTTCGTATGTGTCAAAAACATTTTTTAAGTAAGTGATCAACTTTTTTGTTTACATGTTCAACATTGTCCGAACGCTTATTCAACATTTTCCAAATACTTGTTCAACATTTTAGTACTTAGTCAACATTTTCAAATACTTGTTCAACATTTTAGTACTTATTCAACATTTTCAAATACTTGTTCAACATTTTTCAAATACCCGTTCAATATTTTTAATACTTATTCAACATTTTGAAATACTTGTTCAACATTTTTATAATACTCGTTCAGCAATTTTAGGACTTATTCAACATTTGTCAAATACATTTTCAACATTTTTAATACCTATTCAAAATTTTCAAATACTTGTTCAACATTTATCAAATACTTATTTTAACAATTTTTAATTCTTATTCAACAATTTTCAAAAATAATTTTAAACATTTTTTTAAAATGTGTTTTTGAAGAATGTTTTGTTTATACATGTAGAATATTTTAAAGTATAGCGAAAAGTACAAAAATAAAGCAAAAAACAAGAACAGAAAAAAGGAAGAAAAAAAAGGCCGCGGCCCCCCGCGCGGCTGGGTCGGCCCATCTGGGGTCCCCCCAACGCGAGGCTTGCCCCTGTGCTCGCTTAAAGCGAGACATAGGGGCGCCCCATACCCATCCCACCAATCCTCCTGAATACCCCTCGCGTCGCGTGTCGTGCTGATCCAGAACTGCAAAATTCCCCAACAGACGACCATGAAGCTTCGGCTGCGTTCCATGGACGCGCGCGGCGGCGTCGCTGAGACGCACCGCGTGCAGCTGCCGGACACGGCCGTGCTCGCCGATGTGAAGTCCTTCCTCGCCGCCAAGCTCTCCGCCGCGCAGCCCGTCCCCGCCGAGTCCGTCCGCCTCTCCCTCAACCGCTCGCAGGAGCTCTGTTCACCGGACCCCTCAGCCACCCTCGCCGCCCTCGGCCTCGCATCCGGTGACCTCCTCTATTTCACGCTCTCCGCAGAATTATTATCGCAGCCACCGCCTCCTCAAACACTTCCCCGGAACCCTAGCCCGGATACAGCCTCCATCGGGCAAATTGCTTCCGGTTCCCAATCTCCTGGGGAGGCCGGTGGATCCTCGTCACCGCCGCAAAATCTACACATACAGCCTGTCTCTTCGTCGCTGCCGCAAAATCTACACATAGAGCCTATCTCTTCGCCGAGGCCGCGAGCCCTCCACGTGGAGCCTATTTTGCCCGTGGCATCTGATCCGCCCGATGTGGTGATGGCGGAGGCCGTCCACGCACCCAAGAGCTTGTCGAGCCTTGTGATTGGGATTCTCAAGCGGGAGATGGAGGCGGAGGATGCTGGATGCGCAAATGGTACAGTTATCCATCGCCTAGCTGTGTCCCTGCAGGCAGCTCTTGTCGATGCTGGCTTCCTTGCGGAGAATCCGATGGGGTCTCGCCCCGGATTGCTGAAGGACTGGGCCTCGGGTGCAGCGGCAACACTGACCGTAAAGTACACCCTACCGGAGCTTGTCGCCATGCTACCTGAGGGTGAAGAGGGGAAGACAGTGGTTTTGAACTGCTCATTGATGCCAAATTTTGTGATGATATATGGGTGTGTGCCTGGGGCATGCTCAGAAGTGCGCAGATTGTGCTTGGAGTTACCAAAGCTGGCGCCGCTGCTATATCTGGATAGCAATGAAGTGGGTGCAACAGAGGAGAAGGAGATTCTTGAGCTTTGGAGGGTGCTGAAGGATGAGCTGTGTCTTCCGCTGATGATATCTTTGTGCCAACTCAACGGGTTGCGCTTGCCGCCGTGCTTGATGGCATTGCCAGGTGATCTGAAGGCTAAAGTCTTGGAGTTTGTTCCTGGTGTTGATCTTGCAAGGGTTCAGTGCGCATGCAAGGAATTGCAGGATCTTGCAGCAGATGATAATCTTTGGAAGATGAGGCTTGAACTGGAGATGAGTCCTTCTAGCAAGGGTTCTGGATGGAGCGGAGATTGGAAGCAAAGGTTTGTGGCAGCTTGGAAGGTGGACAACAGTAGGAGGCATCACAAGAGACCACCCAGCCCAAGGTTTTCGGGCTATGGTTGGGGGATCGGTACACGTAACCCACTTAACTTCCCAGTAATTGGTGGTGATTCGGACCGTCTGCCCTTTATAAATCACAATATCCTTGGGCGTAGTTTTGGAAATCAGCGGAGGAACATCTCGCCCAACTGCAATTTCGAGGGTCATCGCCAAGGGTTTCCTTGATTTAAGTTTTCACTAGTATCTCAAGTATGCAATGCATAGGCTGCCTTGTACATGTTTATAAGTTGCATGCCAGTGCTCTTATCCTCGTGAACTTTTTTGTCTGTATCTTAGATCCTATGTCTTGTCGTTTTCCGGTTATTCCTTGCTATGACACCAAAGTACTTCTGCTCTGATCTAGCCAACGCCATGATCAATTATGTAATAAATAGTTTGGACTTATGGTACTGAGAGCTTAACTTTGCTCTCTATACATGTTTCGGTATCAGCTCTCATCTGACAGTTTAATACTGCCTCCGATCCATATTAATTGTCGCTGATTTAGGACAAAGTTGTACTAAATCAGCAACAATTGATATGGATCGGAGGGAGTAAGTAATTTTATAGTACGTTTTATCCCAGAACTAATTATTTTCATCAACAAATCTTGAAATAGGACTTAGGTTGTGTTTATTATTATGGTAAGTGTGTATTGTTACCATAATTATGAGCATAAATGGCATTTAGAAAGTTGTGAAGTACATGAAGCTCACCTGGTGGCTTTCTTAGTAGCAAGAATGGACTGTTTTCTTAGCAAGAACGGAATATTACTCATATCACGCTGGTTTTAAACACTTGGAAGTTGTGTACGCTGACTTACTGGTGGCATTTTGAGTTACAACCTTAAATATATATTGATGTCAAGTTATCCTCGTTTTATGTTGTATTCTATAAGTCAATAGCACTACTGTTCATGTATTATGCAATGCTGTCAGGTACATCTCAGTAGAGGGCTATTTTTAGGTCAGTGCAAATGTAGGTTTCCTTTCGGGCTATCTAGTGTACTTTTAGCTCACAATGAACAGATGGAAGATTTAACACTGTTGGCATTTAGCTCTGTTTTTTCATTTAATATCACTAAATGTACCTAACATCATGCTTTTCAAAGATTGTTCCCGGCAACCAAGAAATTGCTAGTCATTGCACATATAGTATGATCAACCAGTTGATTGTAGTTGTATTACTTATATCGAGCTGCCTTGTTTTCCAGTGAACTATAGTTACCATAACTTTGTATTTCTTTTTATAGAATATATGACCTGTTTTTTCATCTAATGAAGTGGTCTTCTGCATGATTCTATCACTGAGTACCTGTAATATTTGGTTCCATGATGCCCTTCTGCATGATTCTATCACTGAGTGATTTTAGAAAGTTAGAGCTTAATATATGAGTGAAGTTCGCTATGATACAATTTCTGTGAATTGCTTCTGGTAAAATGCTTCCAAATGCACTAATCAGCTATACTACAGATGCAACACACATAGTCGAGCAGTTTAATTTCTGGAGGATGATATGTAGAGGAGAATATATATATAGGCCTTTAGCTCAAAATAAACAGATGAAAATTTCAACACTGATCACTAAATGTACTGCAGGTTGTCTTTTAGCTTTGGTTTTTATTTATATCACCAAGTGTATCTAATATCATGGCTTTCAGAGGTTGTTCACTACAACTGAGAAGTTGCTACTCATTCAACATATTATTTGTTAATATGATCAACCAGTTTATTGTAATTGTATCACTTTTCTAGCTGCCTTTTTATATAAAATATATAACCTGTTTTTTTTATCTTTTTTTTGCGGGTGCTGTTTTTTTTTATCTTACTGGTCTTCAATTGTCTTTCTTACTGGTCTTCAATTGTCTTTGTTAAGGTTCATGTAATGTTTGGTTCTGTGATGCCTTTCTGCATGATTCTATCACCTGCAGTATTTTAGAATGCTGGGGCTTAATAGTTAGGACTAGAGTGAGCTATCATACCATTTCCTTGAACTGCTTCTGGTAAAATGCTTCCAAATGAGCCAGCTAATCAGGTATACTACAGATGCAAGGCATATTAGAGTTTTAATTCTTGAGGATGATATATGGAGGAGAATATGCATAGAGGCCTCTCGGTGATGATATGATCAGCAAGAGGGTTTTTTCCTCTTGATTGATGGTGTTACAGGGTGAAAACCTCCACTTTGAAGCTGCAGAGTGCAGATTTATTCTTGCTATCCATAAGCTTACTCTGCAGAGTATCCATTTGTCTGAATTTTGGAGGTATTTTCTGAGCTCCACTCCTAGTCGAAAGCTGGTCAATGAAACTATGAGACTCTGATGCTGTGTGCCCATCATCATTTGCTTAGACCTGTAAAGCATCTCAGTAATCCATGTTCTTTTCCCGCGGCCTATGATGGGTCGAGTGAACCACGGAGCTGCCGTGCTGCTCCTCCTGCATTGCAGGGACCAAAGATTGCCCTAATTTTCTAAGCGAGCTTTTCATTGACCACAGGGGGAAGAAAGGATAACCTTTCCGGTGCAGGCGTGCATCTTCCCGGCTTTGCCCACACATGTCCTGTTGACGATTGGCCCGGTTCATCTTGATGGTAACGTTTTTAAACCATGTGATATCTGTCATGAGATTTACTACTCCTACACCTTTGGGCACCGGGGCTGTGAGCCACCGTTGCTGGTCGCAGTACTCAAATGGCAGCCGTACGGATCAGTCCCGGTGCCCGAGAAAGGCCTCGTCTTTCTGCTCTTTGCTTGTGGTTTGGTGCACTGAAAAGAATGTGGGGGGAGGGAGGGCATGGGAAATAGTTTACAAAACCAGCTGGGCCAAAGCATTGCGGTGTTTTACTGCCAGGAGATCTTGGCTATGTGTATCATGTCATGCAGAGGCTCGGTATTGGCTCAGTGCGGTAGTATCAGCCTCCTTTTTTGTCTCAAAAAAAGTCTGTCATATGCATAGCATTTGTGTGGGTGGGAATCAGAAATTTATCACTCACTACAAACAAAAGAATTTTGTCAGTCTTGTTTCCTTACGTGGAAAAGCTAGTTAAATTTGTGCCAGTGCTAAATATTAATTTAACCCTTTAATTCTTACGAATGCGTTGCTGAACCTGACATGAAACCTCGAGTGTTGTCATGTTCTTCGTTTGTGTTTGGCTACACATTCAGGTTGCCCCAATACATCGCCTGTGCCCGACTAGTTTTCCGTATCCATCTTCAGTTATCTTGGGAACAAGAGTAGCAGGAAAGCCGGATGTGTGCCGCACAAGCGACAGCGGGCCTCTACAGGATTCCAGAGAGTGAGAACAAGAATCCAATTCTCTGCCAACACACGCCCCTGCCAGGATGCTCTGCCCTGCCCTGCCCTGCCCTGCACCCGCAGGCCTTCAACTTTTTGACTGTATTATTCCACGTCCAGCCCAGCTTCCCTCCCCACACCCGCACCCGCTGCCGCCCAACAACTCAAACAACAGCAGCAGTAGAGTAGAGAGGTGGCCGCAAATGCACACCAGCACCAACATTGATTGATTCCAAGACGACTTCAAGTGAACTGAACCGCTAGCTACATCCACGTACATGGACACCGCCCCCTTTCAGCTTTGCCGGTGCTCCCATCTTGCCACCATTGTTGCATTGTACAGCACAGCAGCTAGTGCTTGTTGGGGCAGGGTATGCAACTAGTCCTGTACAGAGACGGGAAGTACTTCCACTATTGCTTGTACTGCAGCGGGGCGTCATCATAAAACAAGGGCGCTGTGTGTGAAGCCGGTGGAAGAAACAGTTCGTGGTGGCGCCCTTCTCCCCTTTTATTATCTTCCCTCCACATGTCCGCACGCCGCCACTACTACTGCATGGTGAACACTGTTCATTATGCCATAGGCTGGTGAGACTGTGAGGGTGACTGCAGGCAGCGCTGGTGGAGGAGCAGGGGAAGCAGCGGCAGCTCTCGCCTCCTTGCTGGTAACAACATCTACTCAACTCCATTGATGCTCTACATATGCTACTGTGAAATCCTCTCTGCTGGCAAGTAGTTTTGAGGCAAATCTTTTCCCTCTGTTTCAAAAAAAAAAAAACCTCTCTGCTGGCAAGTGGTTTTGCATAATTGTATTGCATTTCAGCTTTTATATACCAGCAGTACATTTTAGTAGGATATTTTCTTGGGAGGAGAGTGAGCTGCTTCCATATTTTCCCACCTTCCATGAGTGCCAACTATACATGTGTTCTCCAACACTACACTTTGGTCGAATATTTTCTTCGGGGACAGTGAGCTGCTTGCATCTTCTTCCTCCTCCCATGAGTGTCCTCTGCGTGTTTCAACAGTATCATGGGCATTTGTTTACCTCTCTCGAGAAATTGCAGTACAAGAGCATTATTAGCCTAGTAATAAGTGGCATCAGCTTTCTCCCTGGACGATTTCGGGGCTTCATCCTGGCGTTTTTGACTCATGATATCCCCCTCGATCTACACGCTCAATCAAAGGGTGGAACTTTTAACGCCTCCGGGCCCTTGTCCGTGCATCTTAGCTGATTTTGGCTTCTCAATTTGGATTGCCGCTCTTAACGCTGTTCTGCACCGACGACAGCTCACAGCTGAGTCTCAAGGCTCCTGCAGCTTGTGCAAATTCAGCATCTCTCTTCGTATTCATTCATTGTTCTGGCATCAAATTTGGACGGTGGGAGGGGCAGTGCTCAGTACTCGCTGTATGGCGATGAGGAACCCTCCCCTTCTCCACTAGTAACAACCGGCTAAGTTTCTGGCTTTTTTGCCCTCGATCACGGACCCTAAATTTCTTCCATGGTTTGCATTTCTTTTCCAGAACACGCAGGAGATGTTGCTCCCTTTCCTGTTGTGTTTATCTGATTCAGTGGTAGCTAGTTTTTTCAGTGTTATTCATACACTCGCATAGCCGCGTAGTTTGCATCCACCCCAACGAAGGCACTTCCGGAGTTTTCATGTAGAAACACTTGATTTATGTATAGACCAGTGCAGATTGTGATGGAAGGAAAGAAGACTTGAATCAGCGTGGGCATCTCCGTAATGCCACCAAGTGGTGAGGCAATTCTTGAATCTATGGCGCACTTGACTTTTCCCGGTCTCCAGTGCACGATGTTTGCTAGCTTTTCACTTGCAATATGCCTAAAATATAGTAAAAAGATACTCCCTCCAATCTAAAATAAGTGGCATCGTGTAGGTTCAAATTTGAACTAAAACCATGTTGCAAGTGACTGCGCATATAACTTAAAAAGTATTTTGCGAGGCAAATGCAAGGATATTATTTTTGAATATGCATAATCCAATACTTTTGCGCATACCAGTGATCAAAGTTTTAAAACAATGACTG